TGGAGCCTCCCGAATCTAGTTCACACAAACCATGCTCTTCTCATAACCACCACGCCGCCTTGTCGGGGTTTCCGAAGTAACGGTTTTCGGGCGACAAAATTTGAAGGTCCACTTGCGCCCGTCGAGGAAGTAAACATGCTCTGGAAGGGATGGCTCCAGTGCCAATCAAAGAGAAGTGCAGATGCTTCCGTTTCTTCCTATGGGAGACCTGTCAGGATGTATACACAATACATTGACGAGAAGAGCATAACCATATTTTGGCAAGGAGTGGCAAGGAGTTTGAGGAAGCCGGACATTACTTGTGAGTCAACCTAACATGAGGTGTGTCATAGTTAAGACGCGACTTGTGGTTGTTTATGTTTGCTGCATCCATTAATGGGAAATAAATAAAATAATTTTCAATGTGTGGAATGTTACAGAAATATGAATTAATTTTTGGTAGGCATGTTCAAAATGAAATAATCGAAAATTGGCTTCGTTTCCAGTTCACGGCTTGCACTTCATATCGTGCTGTTGAAAAAGGCATGCTTGTGAACCTGCTAGCGTACGCAGCAGATTAGTCTCAGAAACAGTATTCTTGTTTAATTAATCTATAGTGATTATGTTTTGCACGCGGTGGCGATCTAGTCGCCCGCCGGGTCATCCAACGGGGGTTGTATAGGGCGTGGCATGAAGCATGTTTCCGGAAAGGTAGGAGTTTTGGAAGAATTTTGGAAAAGTGTCGCCATTTCAATAGTTATACACTCACCTGACACAATTTTCGAGTTTTGGGGATAGAGTTTTGAAGTGTACGGAAACGGACCAGTATTAAGGGCTTATATGGTAGCAATCGATCGTTGGAATGTTGGTTTGGGATTTCTCCAAGTTGGTAACCGACAGGAGGCCCGTCGCACGGCAACAAGGCAGAGTCAGCGGACGAGTCGCAGCGCGTACTGTAGTGATTTCGCGTCAAGTTAAATAGAATGTACCATGTACGTCCTACATCGCACATCACGCGCTGCGACTCGTCCGCTGACTCTGCCTTCTTGCCGCGCGACGGGCCTCCTTGTCGGGTACCCTCTTCCAAGGGGTCGTCAAATTTCAAAGTCTCCTAACGTGACAGTTGACCTTGGGCGTTCATGTAATTATACTTTTCAGGTAGATTTACCCACGACGGAGCTTATATGTAATACTCTGTGGGTTTCCAGGAACGAAAACCGTGGGAAATAAATGACTAGTTAAATAGCAGAAATTTGGAGGCCTAGTCGCCCCAGGGACGTGGTGGGCTGAGGATCAGTCAGGCATGATGATGTGTAACTGAGGAACGACACTGCTGCATGAAATTGGTGATAACCCACGCCAGTTGTGTATAATTGTAAGTACCGTACCTTCAGCATGGAGCGGATTCATCGTCTTTGTGAATACGTAGCAGTGTCCCATTATGGTACCAATATTGTAGAGGTTTCCATCATGGTCGTTGTGAAAGTGTGCCGTATAGGTGTGTAGGCTTATTTTCGCCTCTTTACGAATGTCCACCTGAAAGGGGAAAATCGGAATGATGTCCATTCAAACAAATTGAAATTACGACGCGTTTCGATGAGACTCATCACCAAATCAGACGAACGGGTCTGTCGTGTTTGCGATTTCTTTTGGGGGTCGTAACTGTACTTTTGGGGTCTCGACGAAGGGTTATGCGAAGGGTAGTATTTGTGTAACATGGGGGGTCGTTTTCGTGGGTGAGGAAGTCGAGTTCGACGGGTTTTGGAGTAAATGGACCGAAAAAAGATGCATAAATTAGGCAAATAAGCATTTGCCTTTCTTTCAGGCATATTTACCATCCGTTCGACAGCTGTTCTGGAGGAAACATGGGTGGAGTTGGACTGTGTTGATACTGTGGAAACAGCCATGATGGTGCGGATGGCGGTAAGGGGAGGCAATAGGGAGAGGTTTTAAAGGAGAGCCCCTCCAGAGCCACTGATGGTAGTGTAGGTGGTATCAAGACCTTCAGGGGGTACCGTAAATGTTTTGAATCAGTCTGACCCCAGGGTTGACCCTGGCTACGGCTTGGCTATGTCCAGTTGCTTGTGTAATCAGTAAACGCGGCCGCTGCAGCGGTTGCGGAGCGACTGGTCAAGTTTCTGTCACAGGTACCAACCTTGGGCACAAAGCTGCAGGAATATACGAATGATTTCCGTCTAGACAAATGAAAACTCGATTCTCGCGCAATTATTCTCTGCAATTACCAGCTGCTTGTTTATCCATAAACTCCTACTAAAACACCTTCAAGGAAAGCGGTACCCACGACTTTACTCGCCATCCTTCCCTATAATTTGCAGGGCAACACAAGCAGAGACCATAGGAGATTAGGCGATTGAGAGCTAGGAGATCAGGTAAAAAATTCATACACGTATTGATGAGGAGAATAGGAGAGTAAGGGACGAGTCTTAAGGCGAACCAATTAGTACGCACTAATTTTTCAATTTTTTTTTTCAAAATTTTCAGTGCAACCTCTTGACCTCATATCTCCTAATTTTCCACTTGATAATGTATGTCGGTATTTGTTTCTCATTATCGGCCCATTTTGAATATTTTAATCGTGAAGCATGAACGCACCTCATCTCTGCACTGCAGCAGTCAGGAGGGTTGTGTCGCCGGAAACGACAAGGCGAAAACGACATAGCGCGCGCGTCATACAGCAAGATGCGGGAACTATCGCCTCCACATCCTTGTAGATTGGGTGTTTGCCAGAAATCAGTAGATAAAGCAATCTCGGTGAAACTCCGCCTCCCCACCGTCCCCCTGCTTTCACATCGCGCTATTCTTTTCTCCTCGAGAAATCTCATGCTCTCTCTGTTATCTCCCCAAAATTCCGACCAAGAAAGGCAATCAGCCACAGTATAGAGGGTCTCGGTGGTGTCCAATGGGGGCTACGGTAGGACCAGTCAACAAACTGAAGAATTTGCGCGTCACCATAACAAGAACTCTAGAGTGACAAAACGACATCCTACCTCCCCCCCCCCCTTCCCTTCCGCAGACGACACAACTGCTAATGGATAGCCCATAAACTGTCTTTCTGGTAACGAACCTCTCCCAAACAATCAAGATTGTCGATGTCAATCCGTACAAGCCGTGGTGATTCTGTCAGGCATACACACCATCTCCAGCAGTGACAAAGGCTACGCTGGCATTGTCAATGCATCGTTTGTCTGGTATGAAGTAAGAGAAGAGCCTGGAAGTGAGCAGAAGCCATTGGCACATCGGTACGTACAAAATCTGATCAAGCGTAAGGATCTTAGATAGGGCACACCTCTGGAAAAGGGTTTTACAAGGGTCCGGAAACTCCAAGGTACCAAACGAGGAGCAGATGATTCGATTTGCTTTCATGTTCTTTCTTGTAGTCCTCACTTTCCAAATATCGAGCTGAGTAGTACATCTAAAACGTCGATATGTACATATTACAGTACCGTGCAGTGAAGTATTCGTTTTCACTTTTTTAAACGTAACTCCCTCAAAACTCAAGCTTTTGTTCCGATTTTTTAAAGGTGAGTGCATGTCACCATATTTGAAATTTTCGGTTGTCTAGGTGGGGCGGAAGTGGTGTAGTGGCAAGTGGCACGCTTACCACGCGAGCGGTCCGGGGATCAAATCCTGGGTCGTGAGTCGCCCGGGCCAACCAAGCCTTCCATCCCTCCGGGGTCGGTTAATTGGTACCAGACTTGTCTGGGAGGATAAAACACTGACTTGTACATCGGCTGGCCCCCGCAAGTCATTGTATAGGCCACATCGCATTCAAACGCCACTACGAATGTACAAATGGAAGTAGAATGCGTGCCGCATCCCAAATTTGGTCAATACCATATTACTTGTTCGAACTTCAATCTATCTAAATTCAAAAATAATAACAAAATAACTTGTATAATAACAGACTGAACAATTACAACATCAGCACTTTGTCGCAGAACCGTTTTCATCTATGACGGCTTGACACCGGCGTAGCATGGACTCGGATTTTTCTTGGTGGAGGTTCCCCTACGCGATCTTCAGTGGGACGGACTTTTCGAACTCGTTGTGAGCTTTAAGGCCTTCAGCTTGACTCCGAAAATCATCCTACAGATTTTTGCTCTGATTCAAGTATGGGGACTGCGATGGCATGGCAGTGGAGGAACATTGTTGTTGCGGAACCATTGCGAGAGCGGCTTTGATTTTGCGCTTGGGGTCGGAAAATGAAACACTACGGGCGACACTGCGAGCATGCGGCCAGATAGCAGTCATCCATATGTTGAGGCGCGTTTTGGAATCCATTTCAGCCTCGGTCCGATGAAGGTGATCAACCCCTATGCCACAGAAGCTGCCATGCAGTATCACCGCACCCCCTGCATTCGTCACGTCAGCACATGGAACCTCGGATGATATCTGGTACCAACGGGAAGTCGCAAAAACTTGACTTCTTTCGTGCTAAACAGCAAAAACTTCGATTCGTTGCTCTAGATGGCTTTTTGTCACTCCTTAATAGTCCGTTTCTTGTGGGCATGAGCCTAATTGAGATGCGCTTTGCCACTCTTGAGGGGGAATCAGCGGTTTCTTACTGAGCTACGTCAGAAGTGCCCAGCATCTCTCAGACAACGTCGCACGTTGTCTTCGGACGGATTTAGACCGTCTGGCGTTGAGAATCCGCGGTGAATGTCGGGTGCAGCGTGATGTGAGCCACTCCTTGCAAGTCGCACAATGTTTCTGTTGGCGAGAGGAGAGGTCATTTTTGCTGCTTCTGGGCACTTTTTGACTTTGGCAGGTTCGATGCTCTTGAATTTCTTCCAAGTCGTCCACTGGCGCTCCTTGAACTTCGAAAATCTGCTGGGATGTTAAGCCTTTGTAGAAGCTCCGAAAGATGGCGTCACCTGGTCCTGCCACAAGCTATGAATTCCCTAATGTCTTGGAATGTTCTGAGTACTGTGTAGGCATATGAAACTGACACAAAACATCAAAAACACACGTGCTCTCAACATGGAAACTCATCGTTTATCAACAATGAAATTGGGTGCCCGCGGACAATACTCGAAAATGAAGCTCCATTTCCCCTTGAAAGGAGGCTATCTGCACCGATACGCTGCTATAATATGACTACCTGTGTGTGTCAACTGCTGTCGAAGTTTTACTGCGAAAGCTTGAGTTTTGAGGAAATTACGTTTAAAAAAGTGAAAACGAATACTTCACTGCACGGTACTGTGGCCGGATAATTTGTGCTTCTCTGCACTTGAGTAGATTACATGTTTTGACAACACATCTCTGCGTCTCTACCTTTTCAACAAGCTTACCTTACCATCCTCGAAGTGATATCTCTGAATGTATGCCATGCCATCAAACCAGTGTTTATACTCAGTGTCACCGATTTTGAACATTCCCGGTCCATTACGGACCATTGTTCCATGAAGCCATGATGGGATACTTCCTGCAGACAAAAAATGAATGATCAAAATAATGTGACATAAAATGAAAAA